CCACGGTGGTCCAGGACCTGGGGCTGCACGACGGCATCCGGCGGGTGCTCTTCGGCAACAACCTGAGCTTCTGGCTGCACAAGCTCATCTTCGTGGACGCCGTGTCCTTCCTGTCGGGGCGGCGGCTGAGCCTGTCCCTGGACAGGTACCTGCTGGTGGACATCGACGACATCTTCGTGGGGAAGGAGGGCACGCGGATGAACGTCAGAGACGTGAAGGTAAGCACGCTGGTCGTTTCCTTTTCTCTGACTCGGTCCAGGCAAAGTGTGATGTGAATTCTTTAGGTTCCTCGTTACCCGGGAAGGTTAAGGCGCAGCAGGTTTGAAATAAACAAGTCATTTAGCAAAATCTTGAGCTAAGGAGCAACTGTTGGAATGTTCACGTAGAAACAGTCAACCCCGTAAAGAATGTTTGTGAGTTGATTTGAGCCAAACGGTCGGCAGTTGACGGGAAGCAGAATCTCAAGGGATTGGGATAGTTTTCCGGAGAACAGCGGCTTTTCACCTTGTTTAATACATGACAGTCAAAGTAGGAGATGTAGGTGGGTCACATGAAATCCATTGGTGATAGACTAGGGAGGCGGGAGGAAGCAAAGCGGGGAAACCTCTGCGATTGGGTAAAAGGTAAAATGATGGACACATGCTTCTTTAACTTAGGGGTGTGCAGGGTAGTTATCAGTCAGCAATTACCATGATGGCCACAGTGAGGGGAGTTACAAGCGACCCTGACATTTCACAGGGCGGTTATCTTAGATGCAAAAAGACCATAGACAGGCTCAGTTAAGGACAAGGTTGACCGTGTCAGGGAAGATACCGGCCTAGGAGGGGACTACCCCCCATCACTGCTTTTAGTTCAAGTTTAATTTCAGGCTGTCCTTTGTGGTCACGGTAGGTCTCTGAGTTTGCGAGGCCGCCACCCAGGCCTCCCCTGCGCTTGTCAGGTTAGCTTGTGGCCCCTCTTTCCGTCCACACCTCCCACACCAGGATGCTTCTGCGGGGCTAGAACTGAAATATCTGTTTGAGCTGATCCCTGCCTGGCCTCTCACTTCCCTTCTGCGGCACCGGCCGGCCCCCTTCTCTGGATCCCCTGACCTGTGCCCCTGACACCAGTGCACCCCAGAACTACCCTGGGCAGCTCCCACACCCCGTCGGGCCTGACGATGGTGGTTGAAGCACAAGATGGAGAAACAGCCTGGACCTGGCTGGACCCCAGGGAAGCCCGGCGTTCTCGCATGAACCGCCATGCCCTGTGGGTGCAGAGACGAGCGGAGCAGAGTCTGAGTCTGACAGGCGTGTGCTGGGCGGGCCCTCGAGCTCCCGCTTCCGGGGGCACCCCACATGGAGGTCACACAGTAGGGGGCAGGGCCACATCCCGGCCGGGGCGGACTGTGACACACTCACCAGTGACCTGTTAGAGCCGGAGCCGCTGTTACACCAGGAGGGCGGGCGGGAAGTTCTGAGGACAGTCCCCTTCCTTTGCACCTGGATTCAGCGTCCTCCCGTGTGCCTCCCCTGTCCTGTGTGCAGCTACACCCCTCCTGTGGGCACCTACACCCCTCCTGTGTGCACCTACCCCCTCCTGTGTGCAGTACACCCCTCCTGTGTGCAGCTACACCCCTCCAGTGTGCAGCTACCCCCTCCTGTGTGCACCTACCCCCTCCTGTGTGCAGTACACCCCTCCTGTGTGCAGCTACACCCCTCCAGTGTGCAGCTACCCCCTCCTGTGTGCACCTACCCCCTCCTGTGTGCAGTACACCCCTCCTGTGTGCAGCTACACCCCTCCAGTGTGCAGCTACCCCCTCCTGTGTGCACCTACCCCCTCCTGTGTGCAGTACACCCCTCCTGTGTGCAGCTACACCCCTCCAGTGTGCAGCTACCCCCTCCTGTGTGCACCTACCCCCTCCTGTGTGCAGTACACCCCTCCTGTGTGCAGCTACACCCCTCCAGTGTGCAGCTACCCCCTCCTGTGTGCACCTACCCCCTCCTGTGTGCAGTACACCCCTCCTGTGTGCAGCTACACCCCTCCAGTGTGCAGCTACCCCCTCCTGTGTGCACCTACCCCCTCCTGTGTGCAGTACACCCCTCCTGTGTGCAGCTACACCCCTCCAGTGTGCAGCTACCCCCTCCTGTGTGCACCTACCCCCTCCTGTGTGCAGTACACCCCTCCTGTGTGCAGCTACACCCCTCCAGTGTGCAGCTACCCCCTCCTGTGTGCACCTACCCCCTCCTGTGTGCAGTACACCCCTCCTGTGTGCAGCTACACCCCTCCAGTGTGCAGCTACCCCCTCCTGTGTGCACCTACCCCCCTCCTGTGGGCACCTACACCCCTCCTGTGTGCAGCTACACCCCTCCTGTGACACCTACACCCTCCTGTGTGCACCTACACCCTCCTGTGGGCACCTAAACCCCTCCTGTGGGCACCTACACCCCTCCTGTGGCCACCTACACCCCTCCTGTGGGCACCTGCACCCGTCCTGTGGGCACCTGCACCCCTCCTGTGGGTGCATCACTTCAGCAAAGACATAAACTACAGAAAGAGGACGCGGCCTGGAATCGCACAGGAATGAGGAGTGTTAGGGTCAGGTCCCCTTTCCCGCTACGAGGCTCTGTCCTCCAAAGACGACTGCTCGCTACTGACTCGAGTACAAGCTGTCTCCCCCGCCCCCCCAAGACCTGCTGTCTCCACTGTGACAGACCATGATCATGACGGAGAAACGAGTTCACGTTGTCAAGCCTTCCCGCGGCCTGTGAGCGGCGGCCGGGCTCCTGGGCCTGTGGGAAGCCCGGGCGGTTGGAGGGGGCCTTGCCCCGAGGGCAGTGCTGTGAGGGGTCAGTGACCCCCTGAGGCCCACCTGGATGTTGTTCTGCTTTCCTCCTGGATGTTTTGTACTTTCTATTCATTTTAATTCATTCAAACTCTAGTTTTAGTTCCATTTTTAAATCACAAACTTTAAAAGCGCCCGAGTGCCTCCCCGGCTCCTCTGAGTGACCCTAAAGCCCTGAGGAGGGCCTGCCCCCCAGCCGGCCCCCGGGGACTGCAGGCTCTCCGTCAATCACTGGGCCACCCCGCCGCTCAGAGGCAGCGATCCCCTCCCTCTGCAGGCAGCACGTCCCTCCTGTCCTCTGCTCACACTTGGGCAGAGGTCAGCGCTGACACCTGTGACATGCCCCACACAGGATGGCGGACGCCCACGCACAGGCAGGGAATCGGAGGAGTTGTGTGTTCGTGCACATGTGAGTGTGTGGGCTTGTGTGTGCACGCGCGTGTGAGTATTGGTGTGTGTGCATGTGTGCGAGTGTGCCTGTGTGAGTGCGTGCACATATGTGAGTGTGCATGTGTGTGCACGTGTGGGTGTGTGGGTGTGCACATGTGAGTGTGTGAATCTGTGTCTGTGAGTATGTCTGTGTCAGTGCATATGGATATTAATTATATACTCTACACACACACGCTTTAAAAAATATATCCATTTTTGTCCCTTTGGTGTTGTTTCTGATGAGTAATCAAGGCAGAGTAGCCCCGAGATCCGCACCGCGGGCTGTGACCGTCGGCCACGTACCGGCCAATAGGAAACAGTTTCAAGCGTAAAACTACTATCCTCAGGCTCGGCATCCGATTTCTGTTTTAACTGTATTTTTGGGTGAATATGATTTTTTGGGAAAGGCTCTGAAAGTGTGTGTAGAAAGTTCTGGATACTCCGTGTTCTTCTTCCTCACGTTTCTTTTCTGGGCGTGTAACGTGTCCTCACCCCCAGGAGACGGGAGGAGCCAGGGGTGGCTCTTCCATGTTAATATGTTCACTCCAGGGCCCGAATCCTTGCTCTCACCACCACTCTGCCCGTCGCTCCTCGTGTGGAGCTGTAGGACGGGCACGGAGCTCGGGACTGGGTGGTTTCCAGGAGCCGGGCCAGGCACGCTCACCGGTTTCCGCATTACAGGGCAGAAGCCACTGTGGACGACGGGACAGATAGCGGGGAGACCGAGGGAGGGGGCAGCACTGGCGTGTGAGTGTGCGGGCCTGTGTGAGTGTGGGGGCCTGTGTGAGTGTGGGGGCCTATGTGAGTGTGGGCGCCTGTGTGAGTGTGCGGGCCTGTGTGTGTGGGGGGGCCTGTGTGAGTGTGGGGGCCTCTGTGAGTGTGGGGGCCTGTGTGAGTGTGGGCGCCTGTGTGAGTGTGGGCGCCTGTGTGTGTGTGCGGGCCTGTGTGTGTGCACAGTCCAGGGAGCGAGTCCCCGGTCGGAGGCTCAGCCAGGCGAGGTGTGGCTGGAAATCAGGGCCGCCTGGGAAGGCTGAGTTGCCCGTGTCGGTTGGATGCTGAAGAAAATCAGAAACAGTCGTGGGACGAGATGCTGGAACGTGGCTGTGGCCATAACAGTGAGCGCTGGGGACAGACGGTACCAGCCACGCGCTGGCAGTTTAAGCCAGACAGTGACTGGGTCGGAGCCGGGCTTGGAGAAGACCATGCATGTGAATCAGGGAGGTGTTTGTGAGAAGACGGTTCAAGAGCCTGTTACAACAAGATCAGCACAATAGTCATTACATGCATTTTGTTGTTTGTTTGTTTTTATTGATTTCAGAGAGGAAGGGAGAGGGAGAGGGAGAGAGAGACATCAATGATGAGATGGAGTCATTGACCGGCTGCCTCCTGCACGCCCCACACTGGGGATCGAGCCCGCAACCCAGGCCTGTGCCCTGACCGGGAATTCAACCGTGACCTCCTGGTTCATAGGTCGATGCTCAACCACTGAGCCACGCCGACTGGGCTATATATGTTTTTAAAAAATAATATTTGTTTAGCACATGACTGTACGCTAAGCCCAGTGCTAATCATTAAGGACAACACTCAGAGGAAATATTGTACATTTTCTGAATGAATAAAACACGGCTTAGCATATTCAAATGGCCGTGGAGCGAAGCAGTGACGGAGGGCAGAAGGAGCCCAGGCGGTCTGTCTTGAGAACAGCGGCTTGGGTGTGGGTTGGAGCCTCAGCGCCAGCCCTTACTAGTTAACCTTGGACGAGTTTATTGATTGACCTTCCTAGTACTCAGACTGTGGGTCTGTAACTGCAGCAGAAATCAGCCACATTCTGAGCGTTGGGAAGATGGAGGGACAGACGGGCTTATGACATGGGTGCAGCTCAGCTCAGGGGGCAGCAGATGGAAGGGGCGGTTGGCAGAGCCGGGCAGACGCGGAACTGACAGAGGTGCATTGAGGCCCCGCGGG